ACTTTTTTTCTCGGCCCCCAATAAATTCTTTTCAGGCGGATTACGCGACATCACGGTCCTATCCATTGACATCTCTAAATATTCTTCAAATTGCTGAAAATAGATAATAAAATATTAAAGTACAATGAATTCATCCGAATAATAAATAAGTCAGAAAATATATAAGTGCGAGAAAGTTAAGCATATAAAAATACGCTAATAAATATATAATATACACACTTTTTCCGACCAATCAAACCTCCCCAAACTTAAACTGTTGCTTGTCCCCAAGCAACTTAGTACTATAAGCACATAGATGGATAAGAAAACACTTACGTGGAACTTTTGCTCAAAGCCTCACAATTATCACATAAGTGCATAGTTCAAACAACTCAAATTAATTTATTCGGACTCAAGATGAAATCATTTAGGAACGCAAACATATCAAGTATCAATCCAAGTGACCACCATAGTTTGTCAATCTCTATAACGAATGCACCGACCAATGCAACTCATGACACCCCTCTCTTTGCTAACAAGTCCAGTTTCTTTCCGCTTCTAGCCAAAGTCTAAATGCCTCATTCTCCAAACTTTTTTTTTTCTTTTTTTTTATTTAAGTAGGAAACGGCAGCTCCGTCACAACCCGCGGGTTTTAGCCTTTCGTGCTCGTATAGATATGGAGATTATTGGATTTGTACACTAGAGCCCCCACGGATTGGCAGCTGTTGCAGCCCATGACTCTTTTTTTTTTTTTTTTTTTGCCAAAGGCTTTTCAACTCCACCAATTATTCCTCCATCCTCATTATTCTTTTTTTTTCGACTATGAGACATAGAAACCCCAACTTTCAACTTCAAGTCCCCAAACTTAATCAACATTGATTAAAGCAATCACAAGCACATCTCAACAATACAAATCGTCTCAAAACCAACTCACCACAATAAGTCACAAAAATATCAACCTTCATGCCTTTGTCCCCAAAATAAAAACACCTTAAGAATTTAACCAAATAAAATTAAGCCAAACCATTTAAACTAGCACAATAAATCCAAACCAACTCTCATATCATCATCGCAAAATTCCACGTACATGCAATCTCAAACTCACACAAGACAAACAAATATCATTCAATTTAATCTAAGAACTCAAACTCTAAGGGGAAAAAATATAATAACATAATAAACATGAATGCTCACCAAGAAACCACCTCCCCAAACATAGAGTTTGCATATATCATTGACGCTCAAATATCATAAAAGAACAAAAACAGAGATAAAAGAAACGAGTTCACCTTAGTCAATGAGGAAGAAGTCGACCGAACCACGCACACCACTGGGTTGCCTCCCAACAAGCGCCTCTTTTTATTGTCGTTGGCCCGACTTATTGCTCTCTTTCATCAAAAGACCCATGGCAGCTTCGGAGGTGGCCTCAAAGGA